TATTGAGTTGGCCCGCCCTTTGCAGCTATAACAGCTTCAACTCAGCTTCAGAGGAAAGCGGCGGGAGGAGGTGACCCTGCTTCTAAAAGTAATCCAAGGGCTAATCGGCTGCTCGGATCACTTTTATCAGAAAGGCTGGTGAATAAGGGAAAAAATAATACCAGAGTTATGGCATCTAGCTGCAGCCATAACCCCGGTATTAAACGTCAAACTAATGACATACGCTATATTGCCAAAAGTATTGGTCGGCCAGCCTTTACACACACATGACCTTTAATGGCATCCCAGTCTTAGTCTGTAGAGTTCAATATTGAGTTGGCCCCGGAACATCAAAGAAATCAGCGCTGCGAAAGTGACTTGGAATATATCCTCACTAGGAGGTGCACCTTTATTAAATAAAAGAGTCAAATGATGATCACTATGGATGAGGGGTGGCCTGGGCCAGGGTGAACGGCCCATCCACTCCAATGTGAAGGTTCAGGGCAGAGGGAACTCCTGTCCCTAGCCATGGACCATGAGACCACGGCATCCTGGAATGACGTCACCGAGGTCTGGGGAGGAAGCGGAAGGGAAGGACTGCAAGCAGAAGATGGAGGACGGTAACCTAGACAACGCATTTTGCACACATTGCAGCAGCATTGGGGTGCTCATGTCTTTTGCACTGGTTTATCCACATATGAATGGCTCTTTACTGTGCTTGGAATCATTTACAGTCCATTGAGTTGGCCTCGCCCTTTGCAGCTAAAACAGCTTCAACTCTTCTGGGAAGGCTGTCCACAAGGTTTAGGAGGGTGTGTCTGTGGGAAGGTTTGACCATTCTTTCAGAAGCACATTTGTGAGGTCAGGCACTGATGTCGGACGAGAAGGCCTGGCTCGCAGTCTCTGCTCTAATTCATCCCAAAGGTGTTCTATCATGTTGAGATCAGGCCAGTCAAGTTCCTCCACCCCAAACTTCCATGTCTTTATGGACCTTGTTTTGGTGCGCAGTCATGTTGGAACAGGAAGGGGCCATCCCCAAACTCTTCCCACAAAGTTGGGAGCATGAAATTGTCCATAATGTCTTGGTATGCTGACGCCTTAAGAGTTCCCTTCACTGGAACTAAAGGGTCAAGCCCAACCCCTGAAAAACAACCCCACACCATAACCCCCCCTCCACCAAACTTTACACTTGGCACAATGCAGTCAGGCAAGTACTGTTCTCGTGGCAACAGCCAAACCCAGACATGTCCATCGGATTGCCAGAGAGAGAAGCGTGATTGGTCACTCCAGAGAACACATCTCCACTGCTCTAGAGTCCAGTGGTGGCGTGCTTTACGCCACTTGGTGATGTAAGGCTTGGCTGCTCGGCCATGGAAACCCATTCCATGAAGCTCTCTACGCACTGTTGTTGTGCTAATCTGAAGGCCACACCAAGTTTGGAGGTCTTTAGCTATTGACTCTGCAGACAGTTGGTGACTTCTGCACACTGTGTGCTTCAGCATGCGCTGACCCCGCTCTGTCATTTTACGTGGCCTACCACTTGGTGGCTGAGTTGCTGTTGTTCCCAGTTGCTTCCACTTTGTTATAATCCCACTAACAGTTGAGCGTGGAATATTTAGTAGCCAGGAAATGTCACGGATGGACTTATTGCACAGGTGACAACCTATCACAGGACCACGCTTGGAGTCACTGAGCTCCTGAGAGCGACCCATTCTTTCACAAATGTTTGTAGAAACAGTCTGCATGTCTAGGTCTGTGGCCATATAGGTGATTTGGAGTTGTGTCCCAATATTTTGGGAATATAGTATAAATTAAAGTGAATTTATTAATAGTAAACACAAGACTGCCAAAGACCAGCACAAAAGAAACATAAAAATACAAGTAACTACAATGAAGTAACAGGAAGGCTTACTACAAACTAGCTATATACAATATATACAGAAATGGGGGACACAAATAAACAGGGTAAATTGGAAACGCAGAGAACAGATGGGAAGGGGGAACTAGGACTTGGATCAGGTACAAGGGGAGCAGAAAAGGCAGCAGGGCACAGGATGTAGGGCAAGAGCAAGACAAGCAGCAGGATAAATGCCACACAGTATCTGGCCAGCAAAGCAAAGCAAAACACTGATGCAAAAGGCTCTAGTACAGGAGAAACTAAATTTTAAAAATCAAATTTCGGCATAAATTTAGGCCAAAAATGATTCTGCTACATGTCTCTGCTGAGAAAAAATCTCAATACGTGTCAATTAATTGGTGTATGTGAAAGTTTTTAGCGTCTACAAAATGGCGATATATATTCTGGAAATTTTTTTTTTTTATACTAGTAATGGCGGCAATCAGCAACTTATAGTGGGACTGCGGAGGGCATTCCGACACTGGGGGGGGGGGGGGGGAACTGACTAACTGCCACTGACATCCCAATGACACTAATACAGTGATCAGTGCTAAAAAAAAAGCACTGACACTTGACTGATGATGCTGGGCAGGAAGGGGTTAACATGTGAAGCGATCAAAGGGTTAACTGTGTGCTGTTTTACATGATGTGATGTCTGTGTGTATTACTAGGGAGACATGCTGCTGTGTATTTCTCTGCTGAGAAATACACAGCAGCATGTTATTGCTGGCAGGAGAGAGACCTGTGTTGTTTACATACAGACCTCTCCCCTGTCAGTGATACTCGGTGAATGCTAGGTGCCGGCGGTAATCTCCGACCGGGACCCAGAGATTGACATTTGTAGCTGACAATGGTGGTGCGGGAAGGGCGTGGCGTGCGCCCCCTACCCGGAAATGCAAATCACATATATGTACGTGATTTTGCACAGCTCTGCCGCCCTGTAGCAGTAGTTCTGCTATAGGGCAGAGGGGAATGTATATAACACCTTACCTGTGGAGATTCAGAATCTTACAAATGCACATTCCTGATTAGTTTTATTTAAAGTGGTTGTAAACCTCAGAAATGAAATATGAAAAAAAAAAAGATATTTCTCTATAGTGTGTACTTGTCTCAATCCAGAGCACTAAGCGTCATTTCTGTCTGCTGTCGCATTCCTCTGCTATCAGCATGAATCACTTCTGACAAGTTTTCCTGACACCAAGAGATAAAAAGGTGAAAGGGGATCTCCAGCACACAGTCTGTGATTTACAGCCTCAGCTCTGCTCCTGAGTGCTGTATGAAGGGAGTTGTGTCCATTTCCCTCTCCCTGAGCTCACTGAGTGTAACTTCAGCTTCCTGCCCTCTGCTTTCTGAAAGCTCAGACAAGCTGTATACATTATGCCTTTTGAACAGCGTAAAGGTAAACCGGTACAACTCATGTAGGAGGATTTATTTAATCTCTATGTATCACCTGAGGCCAATCACATCACTGGGTATACCAGTTTAACCTGTAAATATGATTGAAGTGAACCAAAATATCGCTTTTAATAGTAGCTGTTGGCTGAATCTGGATGCGGCAGAAGCGTTGGTGTACACCCTATGCAATGCTGATGTCTCTACAGACAGTAATTCAGTTGGTCAGTTTCTGTTTACAAGATTATGTCATGCTAATGGGTGGGATAATTCTACGTGTCATTGATGGGGAAACGTCGATATTGCCAGACGGTGGCCAGCTGGCGCGTCGTGTTCTTGCCATATGGCAGAAATAAGCAGGGTACTGTTTCTTCGGAAGAACAGTCATTTCCCAGGCAGGTGTTACCCCAAAGGGAATTTCACTTCCAAGTTAAACACACACACACAAAAAAAAAAAATTCTCAACGTATCTCACCAAATGTGCTATAGCTGTAAATTGTATAGTGATCCATTACTGTACAACTCCTATTCTGTGCGTTCACATTTGTAATACGTTCACTAAAAACAGACCAAGCGTTCACTAAAACATCTTTGAGATGGCAAAAAAAAATAATAATAATAATGCGGTATTCAACATCCCCCATCCCCATATTTGAATGGAGGGCTGCCCCCCCCCCCCTACAGATAATGAGGTGAAATCCCAAATTTTAGAGTTGTCACCAGAACAAGGGAGCCTTTCAGAGGCCTTTTGAAGGCCAATGAGGAGGCAATATGTCACGTCCTCACCACCTGATTTAACCCTACTGCATGCCGTTGTGGTGTGGTGCCATAGACTTGCATTAGTGGCGCTCAGCGGCGATAAAGCGACATGTTGTTCTCCATTAAACCGTTATTGGGGAAACATGTTAAAGGAGGATCTCCCGTAGGTAGGTGACCAAGCTGAAGCTATTGTATACTGAGAGGAGCTCACTATATACCTAGGCAAGTGTACAGACCGGCGCCATTTTGGTGTAACGCGACATGCCGTTTTATTTACATACCCCCTCCCTCCTAGATTGTAAGCTCGAAAGAGTAGGGCCCTCTAACCCCTTGTGTACTGTTTGATGTTACTGTTCTGTTTCATGTATTGTCCCCCCCCATTGTACAGCGCTGAGCAAACCCTTTGGCGCTATATAAACACGATAAATAAATAAATAAATAAAATTTACATCGCAGCATTGTGGCTGCAGCATCTGCCCTGGTTCAGATGGGTAGTTGGGGGTGACTGGATAAAGGAGGCCAAGCCTCCGAAATGCTTCATCATGCAGTGCCTTGAAAAAGTATTCATACCCCTTGAAATTGTCCACATTTTGTCATGTTACAACCAAAAGCGTCAATGTATTTTATTGGGATTTGATGTGATGGACCAACACAAAGTGGCACATAATTGTGAAGTGGAAGGAAAATGAGAAATGGTTTTCAAAATTATTTACAAAAATCTGTGAAAAGTGTGGCGGCATTTGTATTCAGCCCCCCAGAGTCAATACTTTGTAGAATCGCCGTTCACTGCAATTCCAGCTGCAAGTCTTTTTGGGGATGTCTCTCCCAGCTCCCATCTGGAGATGGACATTCCTGCCCATTCTTTTTTGCAGAATCGCTCAGGCTCTGTCAGATTGGATGGAGAGCGTCTGTGAACAGCAATTTTCACGTCTTGCCGCAGATTCTCCATTGGATTTAGGTCTGGACTGTGACTGGGCCCAGGGGCGGACTGACCATTTGGAAACTCTGGCATTGCCCGAGGGCCCAGGGTCAGTAGGGGGCCCCATGAGATGCCCCTGGTACCTTTTTCATAGGTTTTTTTGAGTTTGGGCAAGGACACAGGGGCCCCATGATCCCCTATTGCCCGGGGGCCCCTGACTGGGCCATTCTAACACATGAATATGCTTTGATCTGAACCATTCTATTGTAGCTCTGGCTGGATGTTTTGGGTCGTTGTCCTGCTGGAAGGTGAACCTCCACCACGGTCTCAAGTCTTTTGCAGACTCTAACAGGTTTTCTTCTAAGATTGCCCTGTATTTGGTTCCATCCATCTTCCCATTAACTCTGACCAGCTTCCCTGTCCCTGCTGAAGAAAAGCATCCCCACATCATGATGCTGCCACCACCATGTTTCACGGTGGGGATGGTGTGTTCAGGGTGATGTGCAGTGTTAGATTTCCGCCACACATATTACGTTTTGCTTTTAGGTCAAAAAGTTAAATTTTGGTCTCATCTGACCAGAGCAGCTTCTTCCACGTTTGCTGTGTCCCCCACATGGCTTCTCACAAACTGCAAACGGGACTTCTTATGGCTTTCTTTCAACAATGGCTTTCTTCTTGTCACTCCTCCATAAAGGCCAGATTTGTGGAGTGCACGAGTAATAGTTGTCCTGTGGACAGATCCTCCCACCTGAGCTGTGGATCTCTGCAGCTCCTCTAGAGTTCCCATGAGCCTCTTGGCTGCTTCTCTGATTAATGCTCTCCTTGCCTGGCCTGTCAGTTTAGGTGGACGGCCATGTCATGGCAGGTTTGCAGTTGTGCCATACTCTTTCCATTTTCGGATGATGGCTTGAACAGTGCTCCGTGAGATGTTCAAAGCTCGGGATATTTTTTTATAACCTAACCCTGGTTTAAACTTCTCCACAACTTTATCCTGACCTGTCTGATGTGTTCCTTGACCTTTATGATGCTGTTTGTTCACTAATGTTCTCTCACAAACCTCTGAGGGCTTCACAGAACAGCTGTATTTATACTGAGATTACATGACACACAGGTGGACTCTATTTACTAATTAGGTGACGTCTGAAGGCAATTGGTCCCACTAGATTTTAGCTAGGGGTATCAGAGTAAAGGGGGCTGAATAAAAATTCAGGAGGACCATTGACTGATTTGCCTTACATATTTCATCATTATGTCAGTACGTTGGTTTTAGTCTTTTTTACAACGTAATAAATGGAGTTACACCAGGGCGGTTGTGCGCCCTCTGCTGCTTTTGTCTTTGTGTAGTGGGGAGGGCCATGGCTCAACTTCCTTGGTTGTACTGCCCCCTAGCTGCATGTGTGAACAAACGATTTCCCTCACTTTGGGAAATTTCCTCTAACTTCCTATTGCGCCCCTGGGACAGGAAATTAAGAGAAATTTTCCCAACAGTCTACACAGACAAGAAAAAAAAAAACTGGCAAGGGGTTTAACCCTTTCCAAAACTAAAAAATAAAATTGACTTTTAGCCCTAGTTCACACTGATGCGGTGAGGAATTTGCAGCATTTTCTGTGCGAATTCCTCACTGCATCAGAATCGCACCCCGTTCATGTGAACCGCTGCGGGTGTGTATGTAAAGTTAACAACACCCCGCAAGTGGTCCGAAAAATGTGGTGCGATGTGCAGAATCAAATTGCATAGGTGTGAATGCTCATGCGATCCGATTCTACCCATATGGAAGAAAAATACATTTGAAATATATTTTAAAAATATTCTTCCCAAATATATTGCCATATGTTTGAAACGCTACAATTTTGGCCATATTAAATATATTTAAAAATATATATATACGCATATATATGCATGTTGAAATGCGTTTTTATTACAAAGTATATAAAAAAATATTTTTAAAAATACATTTCAAATATACTGTATGTCTTTAAAAATACAAATCTACATTTTTGGAATGCATCTACAAATATACGTAAAAATATATGTTAAAATTACTTTTTTTATATGTTAAACAAAATCTGAAGAATATATTAAAAAAATATATATTTTTTAAAAAAATATTTTTTTTAATATATCCTTCAGATTTTCTTTGAAATGTGTTTTTAAAAATAATTTTCATATATTTTGTAATAAAAAGGCATTTCAACATACAGTATATATATATAAATATATTGAATATGGCCAACATTGTACCATTTCAAATATATGGCAATATATTTGGGAAGAATATTTTTAAAAAATATTTTTCTTCCATGTGGGTAGTGCGGCCCTGCACCTTTTTGGTGCGGGTGCGGTGCTATTAGAGCCATACAAAATGTCAAATTTTTTAAAATATAATTTCTTTAAATATATCCTTCAGATTTTCTTTGAAATGTATTTTTTAAAAATACTTTTCATATATTTTGTAATAAAAAAGCATTTCAACATGCAGTATATTATATATATATATATATATATATGTATGTGTGTGTGTGTGTGTATGCAGGGGCGGGCTGACCATTTGGAAAGGGCCTGGGGTCAGTAGTGGGCCCCAGGAGATGCCCCTGGTACCTTTTTCATAGGCTTTATTGAGTTTGGACAAGGACACAGGGGCTCCATGATCCCCTATTGCTCGGGAGCCCCAGGAGTTGTCACTCCGCCCCTGTGTGTATGTATGTATATATATATATATATATATATACAGTCATCCATAAATATTGGGACATCAACACAAATCTAAATTTTGGCTCTATACACCACCACAATGGATTTGAAATGAAACGAACAAGATGTGCTTTAGCATTTGCAGACTGTCAGCTTTAATTTGAGGGTAATTTGCATATTTTTGTGAACGGTGTAGGAGTTACAACAGTTTGCATATGTGCCTCCCACTTGTTAAGGGACCAAAAGTAATGGGACAATTGGCTTCTCAGCTGTTCCGTGGCCAGGTGTGTGTTATTCCCTCATTATCCCAATTAAATGAGCAGATAAAAGGTCCAGAGTGCATTTCAAGTGTGCTATTTGCATTTGGAATCTGTTGCTGTCACTATCAAGATGAGATGTAGCTTTTATAGTGAAAATAAGCCATCATTTTTTGAAAAAATACAACCCTTCAGAGAGATAGCAAAAACTTTGCCAAAAAACTGTTTGGAACATTCTTAAAAAGAAGGAACGCACCGCTGAGCTCAGCAACACCAAATAAGACCACGGAAAACAACTGTGGTGGATGACCGAAGAAAACAACTGTATGGATGACCGTGAAGAAAAACCCTTCACAACAGTTGGCCAGATCAAGAAACTCTCCAGGAGGTAGGTGTATGTGTGTCAAAGTCAACAATCAAGAGAAGACTTCACCAGAGTGAATACAGAGGGTTCACCACAAGATGGAAACCATTGGCGAGCCTCAAAAACAGGAAGTCCAGATTAGAGTTTGCCAAACGACATGTAAAAAAAGCCTTCACAGTTCTGGAACAACATCCTATGGACCGACCAAGATCAACTTGTACCAGAGAGTGATGGGAAGAGAAGAGTATGGAGAAGGAAAGGAACTGCTCATGAAGCATACCACCTCATCAGTGAAGCATTGGTGGTGGTGTCATGGCGTGGGCATGTATGGCTGCCAATGGAACTGTTCCCATGACAAAAGCAGCAGGATGAATTCTGAAGTGTTTCGGGAATATTATCTGCTCATATTTTCAAATGTCTTCACAACTATTGGACGCCGCTTCACAGTGCAGATGATGGGACAATGACCCAAAGCAGACTTTTTAAAGAGTTTTTTAAGGGAAATTAAGTGGAATGTTATGCAATGGCCAAGTCAATCACCTGACCTGAATCCGATTGAGCATGCATTTCACTTGCTGAAGACAAACCTGAAGGGAAATGCCCTTAGTGTGCCCAAGAACAAGCAGGTGAAGACAGTTGCAGTAGAGGCCTGGCATAGCATCACCAGGGATGAAACCCAGCGTCTGGTGATGTCTATGCGTTCCACACTTCAGGCTGTAAAATTGACTGCAAAGGATTTGCAACCAAGTATTAAAAAGTGAAAGTTTGATTTGATTATTCTGTCCCATTACTTTTGGTCCCTTAACAAGTGGAGGCACATATGCAAACTGTTGTAATTCCTACATTCACACCTGATTTGTATGTAAATACCCTCAAATTAAAGCTGACAGTCTGCAGTTAAAGCACATCAAGTTCTTTCATTTCAAACCATTGTGGTGGTGTATAGAGCCGTGTTTGCTTTTGTTAGAATTGTGTCCATGTCCCAATATTTATGGACCTGACTGTATATATATATATATCTATATATATATATATATATATATATATATATAATTATATATTGAAATATATTTGAATATGGCCAAAATTGTAGCATTTCAAATAAAATTGCAAATATATTTGTGAAGAATATTTTTTAAAATATTTCAAACATATTTTTCTTCCTTTTTTGGGCAGTGCGGACCAAAAAAAGCGTCCTGCACCTTTTTGGTGCGGGGATTAGAGCCATACAAAATGTAGCATTTTTAAAAATATATATTTTTTAAATACATCCTTCAGATTTTCTTTGAAATGTATTTTTAAAAATACTTTTCATTTATTTTGTAATATGTATGGCCAATCGCACTGCACACAAATCGCACGTGATTTGCACAGAATGCGGTGCGGTTCCTGTGCGAATCGCATGCGATATACCGCACCGCATATATGTGAACCCGGGCTAAATATACTTCAACAATATATGAAGGTTATGATACAAATAGCAACTGTGCCCCATGCAAAGCCTCTGGGGTGAATACTATTCTATTTATATTTTATTATGCTTGTATGACATTTTTATTTTCTTAATCTATGAAGTTTAGCATGAACTCTCCTGAACGCGCACAAGGATGTAGTGTGCTCGGGGTCACATTAGCGCACCGGCTTGTAAAATTATCCATGAGTGACACCTTAGACCTAAGTGTGCCCCTGTGATGTAAACAGTGACTTTGGATCTGTCATTATCTTTCAATAGCACCTTTGAGGATAATATTACGGTGCCGTGTTTGCTTTTGGCTGGACCGAGAATCTTCACTGTGGCATTATCTTTGCAGTGTACAATTTATCGGGGAAGCTTATTTCAT